CTGTCGTTAATCTTCCCTACCGCTTACTGCTTATCCCACCAGCCGGCGACGCTTGGAACGAATTCTCCAGGAATCGCCTGGCTCACTAATCTGATCACCCCCCCAGGGCCGACCGGCCCTGGGAGGGAGGCCAGCATTCGTGGGATTCTCATGCCCTCAGGGATCAGGAATCAGGAGGAGGAGGAGGAGGAGGAGGAGGAGGAGCTAGGAGGAGGAGGAGGAGGAGGAGGAGCGCAGCAGGAGGAGCAGCAGGAGGAGGAGGAGGAGAAGGAGGAGGAGGGGGAGGAGGAGGAGGAGGAGGAGCAGCAGGAGGAGGAGGAGGAGAAGGAGGAGGAGGAGGGGGAGGAGGAGGAGGAGGAGGGGAAAGATCGAACAATCATACCGTCGGAGATCCCGAGAGCCTTTGCGCTCTTCTCGTTGGCGTCGTTCAATCTCCGCGCCTCCTCCGACGCCGCCCCGCCCGGGTGCGCCGCGCCGAGCAGCGCGCCGTCCTCCCAGGCGCCCTGGTCCGCAGGCGACGCCCCAGAGGGGGGGCATCCTCCCCGTCGAGGGTAGGGCCCGATCCTCGTTCCTTATCGATCCTCCTCCTCCTCCTGCTCCTCCTCCTCCTCCTCTTCGATCCTTGCCGTCCTCTGGGATGCTCCTCGATCCTCGATCCTCTTCGATCCCCGACCCCCTTCCTCCTCCCAAATGGCGCCCTGGCCGCACCGTCCGGGAGGCGAGCGTTCGGCGATCCCTCGCAAGTGGTTCGAGGTTCCACGTCTTCGGCCTTTACAACTGCTTCTCGGTGGTTTTCCAGCCTTCGTCGTCATGGTGAATCGGGCGGGCGGCAGCCCGACGTGGAACAAATCACGACGGGAGTTTCGAGGTTTTCGGGCACTTTCGTCGGTTTTGGGCGGTTTTCCAAACTCTGGATGCTCTCGAATAACTCCGCCTCGCCGAGGGCGTTCTGGGCGTGCCCGGATCGTCCCGAACGGCCGCTGGAGACCCGAGCTGTGACCCGAAAACCGGACGATGGGGATTATTGGGGAGGACCTTCCTCCTCCTCCTCCTCCTCCTCCTCCTCCTCCTCCTCCTCCTCCTCCTCCTCCCCAATTGTCCGACGATGGCAACCGGACGTCTGCACAAGCGTCCTGCCTCTTGCCATCGCTCGGACGTCCGTATCCCGTGCACTCTTAGGCTTCGTGCGTGCTTCTTCTTCGCATGACGAGCCAGGGTGCGCTCCTAGATGGCCCAGATTTCCTGGCGCTGGCCTCGCCAACAAAAAGTACACACGTCCGAGCGATGTCAAGGCCGTGTCGACAGCGGAAGTGGGCACCTGTCGAGGACCCCTCACCCGGATACCGGGTGCCGCGGGTGTGCGAGCGTCTGCATTGCGTTGGCTGGTCAGCATCTTGACGTGCACCGGTGTCCCCCCCCGCGCCCGCGGGCCTGGTGCTGGAGGTCGTCACGCGCGACAGGGCGCGTTCAGAAAAAAAAGCGGCGCGCGTCGTTGCAGCCCGCGCGTTCGCTCTCGATCTGGACGTCGGGGGCGAGGGGTGGGAGGGGTGGCTGCGGCGGCGCCAAACTTGGAGCGGTGTCCCAGAAGGCCCCAGAGGCTCCTAAGAAGACTTCCTGGCAGCTGTGCTGCTATGAAGCCCCTCTGCGTTCTTGGAAATCCCGCCGCCTTCTGAGAGGCCCACCCCCCTCGCGCCACCCGCCTCGTGGGCGCCGCCAACAGACTTTGTCTTGGCGCCGCGATGCACAGCACGCAGCACGTAGCGTACTGATACGGAGATCAACACGTAGACTGGAAACGTAAGTATGACGCGATACAGTGGACAAAACGTGGGCCAACACGCCAGGTATTGACACGGACGCTCTAAGCACGGTGAGCGTTGCGTTTCAACACAGGCGTATCGAGGCACCTAAGACTTTGCCCTGACGCCAAAGTGGTGCAAACGTTTGAGGTTTGTCCTTCAACCCGAAGGCGCCATGCACCTCGCGAGGGCCCGGTCGGGGATCGGAGGCCTCGCCCTTGGGCTCGGGCGCCGCGAGGCCCCAAGACCTGGCTCGAGAACCGCGCGAAGTCGACACCGCACTAATGTTAGGTCGGGCCTGTCCCCCTACAGGGGGATTTTCTACGAAAAACAACAAATACTCAAAAAGTACCCCCAAATGGTAAAAAATGCCCCCAAAATAGTCCCCCGACTATTTTTCAAAGTATTTTTGAATATCCCCCTGTAGAGGGACATGCCCGACATAACCCAAATGGAAGCGTGCGTGATAGGTCAGGTGCAATGCACTCTTTTTTTCTGGATCGAGCTTCGCGTGTTTGTGAGAGCGACATATTCATGTATACATACACACATGTATACACATATACATGCATGCACACATACTAGAACCATGCGCGCTTCGCGCGCGCTTAGGTTCTAGCGCAATCCACGTCCAATTACCGGACTGGATGAGGATGGACATCGTCCCGCAAGGATCACCATCTGGGAGCGTGCTTCCTGATGGACGCTTCAGGAGTTGCTGCATACACTTGCCCTAGGAGATCCAGCTGCCCTGATCAGATGCACCGAGCAGCTGCCCGACAATACTGTAACCTCTGGGACGCTTCGGGAGGCTCGTGGCCTGTGGACCGTCTTTCGTTGTCTTGAAGAAGGCCTTCTGGTCGTCTGGAGGGCACCTCGGACTATCTCGGAGGTGTTTGGGAGGTCCCTTGGAAATCCTGGGGGCCAATGGTATGGGGCAGCTCAAACCATCCAAGGACTGCTGAGTTCAGTCGAAGCCGTCTCGGGCGCGGCCTTGGGAAACTCTTAGCTTGTACTGTGCCTTGCTGGGAAGCCTTCAGACGTTGCACTACATACCGTACCAGACAGGTGGCGCGGCTCACTCTTCTAATGGAGGCGACGTTCACCACGTATGCGTGCAGGGCGATTCCCCCTGCTGTTTCCTGGAAGGCGCCCAAAAGGCCCCAGGAAGGCGCGCAAGGAAGCCCCTGCGGAGGACCCAGGGCAGCCTATGGGGGGACGCCCGAGAACTCCTCACAGCCTGGGACAACCGTGCTGGGAGTCTCTTTGGATGCCTTTGGGGGACGTTCTTGGATGGCTTTTGGGGGTTTCTGGGCGTGGGCTCTCTTCGGTTTTGATGGGGGTCTCCTGGTGGTCTCTTGGGACATCTTGGGCGCGCCTCCGTGGCCTCCCCGGGGCTCTTGCTGGCTGGGCTCGAAATGTCGACTGGGGTCGGCCTGACAACAAAAACGGGATTTGATGCATTTCCCTGTTTTAAGCTGGGTCTCCTACCACTCAGTGGGGCAGGGTGCTGGGTGAGGGCGGCGGAGGGAGGAAGGCGTAAAAGAGAAAGAGAGATGAGGATGAGGGAGGGGGGAGGCGGAAAAGCATGAGGGAGGCGGAGAGAGGAAGGCGTGAAGGAGAGATGAGGACGAGGGAGGAGGGAAAATGACGCAGCAAGGAAGAGAGAGGAAGGAGAAGGAGAAATGGATACGGAGGATAACCAAGCGCAAGAGAGAGAGAGAGAGAGAGAGATAGAGAACAAAGAAAACGGACAGCGGGGGATGGGGGGAAACGGAAACGCACTCTGGGGCACGCCAACGCCTGGGACAGGAGGGAACGGAGGGGGATGGGCGACCTTGAAATGACAAGAACAGAATTTGAGGGAGCTCCCTTTTTTTCAAATTGCCTCTGAAGGCCCCCAAGGGCACCCAAGATCGATCGTCCAAGAGCTCTGGGGAAGCTCTCGAGAGGCCAGCATCATTGCAACAACTACGGAACCCTACGATTTGTGTGTTCTTGCATTTCCGCCCTCAACATGCTTCCGAGGCTTGCACATGCAGCTCGAAAGATGTCCCCGAGATGCGCTTCGAGAGGCTCTTTTGGGGCATCTCGGAGCTCTCCTGGGGGCCTCCTGGGAGTTCTTGAAGGCATCTTGGGGGCCTCTTGGGGGCCTCTTGGGAGCTCTTGAAGGCATCTTGGAGCTCTCCTGGGGGCCTCTTGGGGGCACCTCGGAGCTCTTCTGGGGGCCTCCTGGGAACTCTTGCAAACCTCTGGGGGCCCTCTTCGGCGCTGGCTGCCCACCGGGCGGCTCCCGGGAGCCCGTTGGGACCTCGGTGGTGCCTCTTCATCGTCGTTGGGGCGTCGTTTGGGGCGTCGTTGGGGCGTCGCTGGGGGCGTCGTTGGTGCCTCGGTGGAGCGTCGTTGGGGCGTCGTTGGGGCGTCATGGTGAGCCTCCTTTGGCCTCTTGGGGCCACTTCGCGCGGCTCGGGACGCCTCCTGGGGGCCTCTTGGAGCTCTCCTGGGGGGGCTTGCGCAGGCCTTGGTGGCGTGTCGGAGGCAGAAGTGCGAGAAGATAGAAAACCATTGACTTTCCATAGGTTTTCCAATGGTTTTGGCATCTCGAAGGCTTTCCCTGAACTCTTGGGGGACTCTTGTTGGAAGCCTCTTGGGGCGATCTTGAATACTCTTGGGGGCTTCCAGAGCCGTCGGGGGGCCGGCTTGGACAGCCTTGGAGCACTCTTGGGCTGTCTCGGGGACGTCCAAGGCCGTCTTCAAGCTCTCCCAAAGCTCCTTTGGGCGTCCAGGAGGGTGGTACCGGGAATTTGCCAAACATGGTCGCGGAGTGGGCGGAGCCCGGGGGGGTTATTTATCATATACGTATACCCGTATGTATGTATGCATGCATGCATGCATGCATGCATGTATGTATGTATGTAGATATGTAAGTGTGTGTGATCATGGTCAAAAGTGACCCGAACTGGAGGACACTGCAAAGACTGACGCGAAGGAACGTCCGCCTGTGCTTTGTGGGCTGGCCCCCTGGCAGAACCAACCATCAGACGGGATGGACGCCCAAAGACCAGACGCCCTCCGGCAAAAGGTGACCATGGAACAATCTGATCCACATCTGTTCTCAGCCTTCCCTACCTCTCATCTCCTCCCGTGCTTTCGTGCTTTCCTGATAAACATCACAGATGGAACGCTCTCCGTCAGGTCCGCCCCCAGTCTACTGACCCCCCCCTTCGAGCTCGGTCTGAAAGCAGCCCTTTGCTTGGAGCACTGTAGGTTGCTTCCATGGGTCGCCACCCTGAGGCGTTTCTGATGACATTTGGTCCCCAAGGTGACGGGGGTTTCCCTACAGGGCGTCGCTGACCTTGTAGCATGCGCCATCGGCGTAGATGAAGGCCCCGTCGCCGCTATACTTGCCGTTGCCGACCCCGCCAATGTACTTGTTTCCATTCGTGAACAAGACCACGCTGCGGCCCTCCTGCTTCGCATCCTCCATCGTCTGTACTGGCGGATCCCCAGTGAGCTCTCGGGTTGAAACGAAGACACGCTGGTCGCTACTGCTGCTGCCACCATTGGTACCTGCGTCCACTTCGGCACCAGGGACTATCATCTCCACGAGTTCCTCCACGAGGCGGCCCTTCTCCCACATGCCCAATATTCGAGCGCCCTTTGCGTCAACGAACACGCCCCGACCGTGCTCCAAGTCCTGGCTGAGCTCTCCCACGTACACTCCGCCGTTTGCGTAGGCTTTCTTGCCGACCTGGTTGCAGAAATTGTTCTCGAAGACGCCAACGAGCTGCGTGCCCGACGACCACGTGTAGGTCCCCATTCCGTTAAACATCGAATCCTTAAACTCGCCGACGTACTGATCGTTCGTGATGAACGTCATGGTGCCCCGGCCGTCCATGCTGCCGGCATGGAACTCCCCGGAGTACACGGAGCCGTTGCTCGCGGTGAGCGTGCCCTTGTCGAGGGCGCGCAAACATAGATTAGCAATCCATAGATTTGGCGCGCGGTCGCCAAATCCATGGATCGGGGGAGGTGCCCTCCCCCAAATGCGGCCAATGTCGCCTCGCTCGGCGGCGGAAATCCGCGATTTACCATCGAAACGGGACCCGCCGCTAATCCACGCCCCACTGATCCATGTTTGCAATCGCCCGACCTTGCCGCTCATCTCGCCGAACTGCCACTGACCGCGGTAGACGTGCGCCTTGTCTGGCCACTCGAACGTACCCTCGCCGTGATGGACAAAGAAGCCACAGCTGCACAAGCATTAAGTCGGGCGTGTCCGCCTACGGCGGGATTTTCGACGAAAAATAAAAGATACCCCCAAAATAATCAAAAAACAAATAGTCAGGGGACGATTTTTTGAATATCTTCTGACCATTTTGGGGTATTTTGGGGGTACTTGTTTATTCCCTACCTAGGCTCTGCCTAGAAGGGTTCTTACTTTATAAGCTTAAAGGGGCTGGGCAGTGTAAAACGCCCTGGGCGGTTCCCCCAGGATCCGCCCCGCGGTTCCCCCAGGATCCGCCCCGCGATTCCCCGTAAGCTTAGCTAAGCTAAGCTAAGCTTAGCGCTTAGCTTAGCTTAGCTTAGCTTATCTCATCTTAGCTTAGCTTAGCTTAGCTTTGCCCAGCCTAGCTTAACTTAGCTTAGCATAGCTTATCTCATCTTAGCTTAGCTTGGCTTAGCTTGGCTTAACTTAACCTAGCTTAGCTTAGCATAACTGAACTTACCTTATCTTAGCTTAACTTAGCGTAGCGCAGCGTTAGCACAACCCATCATAGCATAGCCAATCATAACATAGCATAACATAGCTCAGCGTAGCAGGGCATAGCATCGCATCGCATATCATAGCGCAGCATACCATAGCATATCATAGCATTGCTTATCATAGCACAGCGCAGCATATCATAACATATCACAACATAGCATAGCATAGCCTAGCATATCATATCACAACATATCATAGCGCATCATCGCATATCATAGCATAGCCTAGCACATCATAGCGCAGCATAGCATAGCATATCATAGCATATCATAGCGCATCATATCATATTATAAGACAACATACCATAGTATAGCGCATACTATCATCTCATAACATAGCGTAACATAGCATATCATAGCGCAGCATATATGTATATGTAGATGTAGGTGTAGATGTAGGTGTATATGTAGATGTAGATGTGAATCTCGCTGTTGATGTTGATGTAGATGTAGGTGCAGGTGTAGATGTAAATGTAGCTGTAGGTGTAGATGTAGATGTTGTTTTCCGAAATGCTCCAACTCCTAGGTAGGGTCGCACTGGGATAATTTTTCGTCGAAAATCCCCCTGCAAGGGGACAGGCCCGACTTAACACAAGCAGAAGCTCCTGGAGGTCCGCGCGGCTCTCCCGGGTCGGCGCTGGACCTCCCTCCCGCCGGCGGCGCCTCCAGCGCCGCCCCCCTCTGGTGCGCCCCACGCCCCAGGAGAAGCGCCCAGCGCAGATCCAAGGACTTCGGCGCAGGCTTCCGACGGTTTCTCGCTGCGCTGCTCTGCCTTCTTCGCATAGAGGCCGTTGAAGAACTCGCCGACGTACTTGGCCTTCGTGGACCACTCCAGGGAACCTGGAGGCCTCCCTCCTGGGGTCCGAAAAGACGGCGTCGGAGGATCAAGTCGCAGCGCCAATGCATCGCCGACGCATCGGCGACGTAAGCGTGGATCAAGTCGGGCTCCACATCAAACCGTATCGCCGATGCATCGGCGATGCGGCGCAATCCTCCGACCCCGACTCCATCTACGTCTAACCCATTTGGGAGGTCTGGAGCACCCTGGCCCTGGAACGCGTTGTGCTCGAAAGAGCCCTTGTACCGACAGACGCCGTGGTCGTCCGACCAACACAAAGTGCCCTCTCCGTGCATCATCTCGTCCGTGAACTGGCCCGCGTACCGGCGGCCATCCGGCCACTGGTACACGCCGTACTGGAAGATGTGGTTGTTCTGCTCGAGGAACAAGAAGATGGTATAAACACGAATTTTCGGAGCTCCGCGCGGTTCTCTTGAATCGGCGCTGGCTCCCCCGCATGGCGCGCGGGGCGCGCCAGGGGCGGCGCCGGAGGCGCTGCGGGGATGAGGGCCCAGCGCCCATCCAAGGAGTCCGTGCAGAGCTCCGACAATTTAGGCTTATGCGATTTTTCATTCCTCGATCTGCAACGTGCCCGTATACACACACCCGTTGGCCCACTTCTTGGTCCCCTCGCCCGTCGCACCGTGGTTCTCGAACACGCCAGTGATGGCGGGGGGCCGAGAAGAGAGCACTCGGCCCATCAGGGTTGGCGAAGTGGGGGTGGGGATGAGGCGGGGCGGGTGGGCGCAAGCGAGGATGAGGAGAGGGTTGGGCGAGGGGACGAACAGGCGCGGAACACAGCAGGAGAAGACGGAAGTGCCAAGACGTCCGCGCGTCGCGAACGAACCATGCCAACTTCTTGAACCTTTGTCGGCCTCTGGGGGCCCTCGCTGGCCGGGCCCGGCGAACCGTCAACAGAACGGCTCGGGGTGGAACGCTGGTCCCAGGGAAGTGGTCGAGACCTCGGAGGGCTGACGCTGTGGCAAAATCACGACGTCGGAGTTCTGGGGGGAAAGGTCGGACAAGCATCAAGGCCACCTAAACGGGGACTTTGGCTGACCTCGGAAGGTCCTCGTTTAGGGGTCCCCGGAAGCGCCCTGGGGGTTCCCAAAACGGTGCGGAGACCGCGCGGTGACCTCGGAGTGCCGCAAAACCTCCCCCGCGCGGTCCGTCACCACTCGGCTTTGGGACTCTGGAAGCCCCCATCGCCCGAGACGCCCTCGGGGAACGATCCGAGCCCCCAAACCGTGCGGTCACCCCAGAACTCCCCACTGAGTCACCACACGGCGTGGTCGCTGGCCGCGCCGTCTGGGGCACCTCCGAGCGGACGCGCTGCGCCAGTGGCGCGGCCGGAACCCTTCCCGAGCGCCGCCGCCACCGCTCTTCCGAGCCGATCCGGGCCTCGGCGGCGGCGGTATCTCTGGCGATCCGAGAAGCCAGGCCGGAGTACCCCGAGTTTCTTAACAAGCGTCGGGGGGGCGTCACCCCCGCCGACGGCCCCACATCGACCCCCGTCGCGGGGAGCCGCCGCGCGCCGAAGGCGCTCCGACCCCAGTCGCGGCGCGACGACGAGGCAAGGCTGACCCCCGTCGGGGGGGTAACCCCCCACGCCTAGTAAGAAATCCAAAGTGCACGGAGCGTGCGCGCGAGCGTAGAGGTCCCAGGAGGCCCCTGCAGGCTCAACGACGCCTGGACCTGCCAGCACCCTTCGGGCTCCCCCGAGCAAGGGGTGGGGCCAGCGCCCTCGTCTGGGCACCTCCGATGGTGGTGCCGTTCGGGAAGCGGTGGCAGCCGGGGCCCACGATCTCGCTGTTGTGCCAGAGGCCCTCGAACTCTGTGCCTCGAGCAGTGCTCCCTCCTCACCCCTCCGACGAAGCTGCGAAGCGACGACGACGCGACGAAGCGAACGACGCTCCAAATCAACTCATCGGTCAGATCAGTGCAGGCGGCGAGGTTCAGCACCTCCTCCTTCCTCCTCCTCCTCCCTCTCCCCCTCCTTGCTTCCTGCGCGATCCTCCGACTCCACCTACTCCGGCCCCATTCTGGCCGCCTGCAGGAAACGAGGGAGGGGGACGGGACGGATAGAGGGAGGGGAGGAGAAGGGGCGGGGAGGACGGAGGAGGGGAGAGTGAGACGGGACTGGGCGGGGGGGTGGATGGAGGAGGGAGAATCTTGCGTGCAATGCGGCTTCCCCGCAGCGCCGTCTGGCCAGTGGAAGGTGCCGTGGCCCTCCAGCTCGCTGTCGTGGAACTGGCCCTCGAACCACGACCCATCTGGCAGCACCTTGGGCACAAGAATCTGTGTGCCACTCGAACACATCCAAACATACACCTAGCAAAAAACGATTTAGTTGCAGGTGCCGGGGGCGGTGATCAAAATTGCATTGGGCGCGTCGTTCGGACTGGTGGACGGGCGCCGCCTCGCGACATACGATGCCGGGCGCCTGTCGTGCCAGAGAATTGGGGTGCCAAGAGTGGCAGCGGTCAACATGCTTCATGGCGGGAACTGTGGCGGGAACCCCAAAGACGAGACCAACGCGAACTACCACTACAACCGCGGGGGAGCAGGTCGTGGCCCCTGGGCATAGGATGGGCTTCGCTGAACCATGGAATGTGGGGTATCGGCGGGAAGCGGACCAAGGGGCGGGGCCTCGGCGGTGGGCAAGACGGGCAGCCGATACTTCGGGAAAACGGGCCACGTACAGAACGGCACTTGGCGGCCGGGGCGCGTTGCACGTCGGGTGCGCGCGCCGCCGCGCCCGACGTGCACCCCGCCTGGCCGGATGCCGCAAGCAAAACCGGCACACCGGCAAACAATGCGTCGTTCTGCGCGGATGTCGCAGGCAAAACCGGCACGTGCAGAACTGCACCTTCGTGGCTGGCTGAGTGCAGTTCCGTACGTGCTGGATGTCTCGAGCGGGGCGAGCACGTGCAGACCGGCACTTAGCGACGAGGGCGGGGCACGGGCCGGGCGCGTCGCCGCGCACCCCCGCAGAGTCAGGGGGGGCGGGAGCCGCGGAAATCCCACCAGCCCTCCGGGCGGTGGCGGCTCAAGGAGTTCCTCCTTCCTTCTTCTTGAAGGCTCCTCTCCCTCATCCTTGCCGCCCCCCATCTCCCTCAGCGTCTCCCCCACTGCCTCTCGCGCCCTGCGCGGCGCCGGCCGCATCCCCCCCCCAGCTGCAAGGCTCGCCCCGTGCTCCTCTTCTCCTCCATTCGCGAGGCACCAATCTTGACTTTCCAAGCCGACTCTGGCTAGCCACGTCGAGGCCCTGGCAAATCTGACAGGGGCGATCGCCCGCCTCGAATGGCGGGCGAAAGAAAACATAAAACGGTAGCCCTAAATTAAGGTTCGGTGCTTGGGGGATCCGCGCAGGAAGCTAATCCACTCGCGAAACCGTGTAGTTTTCGTACCTGTCCGAGCCACGCCCTTCCTCTGCTCTCCCCATCCTGCAGGGCGGCCTGATCATGAGAATGCGCGGTGAGGATGCAGGGCCCTTGGACGCCCAAATTGAAGGCCCACGGCTGGGGGCTAGTGTGGGCCGAAGAGGCATGGCTGCATGGCCACCTCTGGAAGGCTACCCATCCTTGAGATGCGGCTTGGCTGCATCCAGACCTGGAGCTGTCTGGAGCTCGTGCGGTGCACAGACCTCCACCTCCTCTCGGGGCGCCGGAGGTCTACGCGCCTCGCCTGCGCCGACGACAGGGCGGCCGTGCCACAGATTTGTCGGGCACTGGCCGCCTTCTTGCCCTTGCCCTCGATGCAGTTGTGGTGGAACTCGCCCTGGTAGCAGGACCCGTCCGCCCACGAGAGCTTGCCCTGTCCCTCGCGGATGCCCTCCTTCCACTGCCCGTCGTACTGGATGCCGTTGGGCCACTTCACACGGCCGCGCCCGTGCATGCGGCTCTGGAGCCACTGCCCCGAGTACTGCCAGCCCTCGTCCTGGCACTCGAACATGCCGTCGCCCTCCTGCGCGCCGTGCTTGAAAGAGCCGTCGTATCTGTCGCCGTTGGGCCACTTGCGGGTGCCCTTGCCATGAAAAACACCCTTCTTGAAATTGCCTATGTACTCTTCTCCGGAAGGCCACGTCATCTTATTTGTGCTGTTGTCTCCGTGCATCATGTCCTTCCGCCATTCGCCCTCGTAAGTCCTGCCTGTGGGCCATATCTTCTTGCCGTCTCCCCACATGTAGCCCTCATGGAAATCCCCGTGGTACTCGCTGCCGTCGGCCCAGATGTAGTGGCCATGGCCGTGCATGCGGCCGTCCTGAGGACCAAGCAAGATCACCTGCCCCACCCACCCGCACGACACGAGGGAGAAATGAGCGAGCGCGACATCGCAGGCTGGGATGGCCGTTTTTTACTTCCCATGTCCAACCACGTGCCGACGTAGGAATTGCCATTGGAGAAGATGCGCTGGTCCGTCACAGGCTTGTTGCTAGCCTGCCCCCTGGCCGAACGATCCTGCCCCCTCGGAGTGTATACTCCGCGGTCTGGTCCGTTGAAGCCCCTCTCGGCCACGCGCATCTCCTCGCTGAGGGCATTGTCCTTGCGGTTCACCAGCTCATCCGGGAAACGCCTGGATCCAAGAGAACGATTCAAACAAACTGGATCCCGCTCTTTGCCCCCCTCCCCCATTTTGCCATCCGCCGTCCCCCGCCCTCTTCCCGTCCCTATCCTCCACCTACTCGCCATCGCTCGGACGTCCATTCCCCGTGCACTTTTTTTCGGTTTGGTGCGTTTATAATTCGCAAGATGATCCAGGATGCTCCTTGATGGTCCTCGCCGACGAAAAATGCACACGTCCGAGCGGTGCCAAACCTCCGTCCCCGTCCTCCCCCCACCCTCTCCTCCCTCCCTCCGAACTTGGGGCCGCGGAGCGGAAAGCCGCGGGAGCCATGTCCTGAAGGCGCCCGCGCTGGCTGTCAGATTTGTTGCCGAGCTCCCGATTCTAGAGGCGCGGCTACTACTTTTCTCTGTTTCGAGGAAGGTATTGGGGCTCAAACTGTGCCCTTGGGCCCCCCAGCTGCAGCAACAACGACTCCCCGACATCCTCGCACTCTACTTGCTAAAGAATCATGCTCTCGCCCGGGCCTTCCG